CAGACCAGTCCGATCGCCCTCAGGACCTGTGCAGAGGCTTGGGGGCGGTGCAGCCGCCGCCTCCCGAGGGTATTTGTGAATGCAGGGCATCTGGCCAGGAGCACTCGGGGCAAGAAACCCAGGCCGGGTGCAGAGTGCAGGGTTTGTGGCCCGCAGGACTGGAAAGGAGCTTGCCGGCGGGCAAAGTAGCAATGAGCAGGCTAACAGGACCACTGTGACCTCACTAGAAGGCCGCCTTGCCCGTTCCCGGCTGAGGGGAGGGGAGGGGAGGGGCTGAGGAGGGGCATAACCCCAGCACTTTGTCCGAAAGGGTGAGCCCCCCTGCTGAGCCGCTTACATCGTGCCTGGCGTGGGCCGAGCCACGCCGTCCCGTGCCAAGCAGCCTCCCGCGAGGTGCACCGGCTGCATCCTCCTCATCTTTGAGCTTCATAAGGGGGAGCGAGCGCTCGTTTCCAGTCTGGCATATGTATGCATTTTGCCTGTAGTAAAATAAGCGAGACTCTGCCTTAGTAGCACAGGTTTTAGATGTAGAGACTATAACGGACTCTTTAATGTAGGTGTCCATGCCCAGTGATGGCGAGGAGGGTCTCCAAAGAAGCAACGCCTCCTGGTTGTTTCTTCTTTTTGCACCACTTTTATAGCCGGTGGCTTTTAAAATTTCTCCCAGAATAAGTTCCAAAAGCACCCTATGCTGGTTCTTTTAAAACAGCCTCGGTGCATAGAATTAAGCGGGCTGAGCCCACTTCTGTTCCCTGGTTCGTCTTCCGCACGTTTCTACCTTTCCCGCTAAAGTCAGTGCGACTTGCAGGTGCTGAGCAGGTGGGCCACCCATGCTCCAAAGTGGCCTCTCTCCCCAAGGACCCCCCAGGGCAGGGGTCGGGGCACAGCGAGGCATTCCCGCACACCTGGCGGCCCCTCGGAGACCCGAGCACTTTCAGAGCAAGGTGCAGGGGAGGCGTGAAGTCCGGCCAGCCGTGAGGGAGCCCTGCGCCCTTTGGGCCGGTCATCCCGAGAGGAGGGGCCCTGCAGCCACCTGAGTCCCAGAGGAAAGCCGCACGCGGGGTATTGGGGAAGTGCGTGCAGAGCGCATGTGCTTAGCGGGAGACGTGTGAGCTGGACGGCTTTTTAAAAGGTTCGGCAAATCCATGCAGAACTTTCTGGCTGTGCATTGCCTCGTTCAGAACCACCCCAAAAGTTGCATTTTTAACCAAAACATTGCTTGCAATCCTTTGGGCAAGTTGGAGTTTTTCAGCTACTGGCATGACTTAAAATGCCTCCTTTGTAGCTTCCGGCAGTATTTTTAGGAAGTTTCAGGAATAGCCTGTACATGACATGACTCTTAACTGTTGCCACCATTGGAGAGAGCAAGGACAGGCTATGTGCAGAGATGCCATCCAAAACACCACTGCCCTAGGAAAGAATTATTTTATGTGGATCTTGTTGTTGTTACTTTGTTAACCTGCACAGTTGCCTTTGGCCGTCGGTCTCCCACAGCCAGAGCGAGAGCTGCCTTGTCTGCAGGCAGATCAAAGCAGCTCGCCAGGAGAGCAACCCACGCTTGGGACACTGGCCTGGGAGGGACGTCACAATTTCGGTTTGCAGGTTGTGGTCACTCGTGTCACGCGACTGCTTTGCCATGCTCGGGGAAGCCCTGGCACGAGCTTCAGCAATGGTTGGACACGATCCAGCGGGGTGGATACTTTGGCGCGCATGGTGAACTGGGGGGCCCTTTCCCACACGGCCTTCCCGAGGTGGCAAAGAGATGCGCTGGGGGGGGTCATTTTAAGGGGGGTTCTGTCCAGAGAACATCCTGACAGATGGCGCTCAACAAATGAAAAAATGGACACGACTGGTCACTTGTTTTCCTTTCACACTTCCCTGAAGGTTCCCCAAAGTTGGGAATGAAAACATTATAAAACAAAAACAAAAACCCTAAAATAAAATTCCACGCCCAGTTGTTCGCCTCGCAATCCCTGCAAAACCTCAGAAGAAAAATAAAGCTATTTTGATAGCATCTGGTTTTATGAAAAAGAAAATCTGCTTTTCCAGTTCTGACTTCAAAAGATTAATGGGAGAGGGTGGGTTTAAAGTGGTAAATTGGACCAAGTTATTTTTTAAGTACACTAAAATTCTCTGCATGAGTTAAAAAGCAAAATTCCAACTATGTGGTGTATATATTATTCCTGCATGCTTGCCATATTTTAAGTGGAAGCATTTCCTATCCTGTGTGGATAAAAGATCTTTTTTCAGTTGTAGTAAATTATTATAAAGCCAATGATATTTCATGGCATGTTATTGTATCAAGCTGTGCTTGTTTTGTTTTTTTCTTTGATTGTATTGCTTTTATTAATGTATAAATATTTCCTGTAATGACAAAAACCTCCTTTACAGACCATTAATTGCAGTCACAGGGGCATCTTCCACGCAGGCTCTGAGGAAAGGTTGCAAGCAGCAGGCGAGCGGTTCTCATGGAAGGCGAGGTGGCTGGCGTGGCCGCCCATCCCACGTGGCCCCTTTGCTCAGCCGCTGTCACGGGAGGTGTCCGAGACGTGGCTGTGGGCCGAAAGGGCACGATCTGGGGGGGGGGGAGGCGGCTGTCCTGCACAAGCCGCGCCAGAACGACTGGCCCCCGTGCGCGGAGGCTTGTCCGGTGGACTCTCCCGCTGGAGCGCGCCCAGGTTGAGTTTCTGAGGGCTGCTGCCCCTTCGGAGTGCTTTTTGCCCTCCCACGGGGCCACACACGTCCCACGCAAGCCAAGCTCCGACCTTCATTGCCCTCCTGGCCAGGAAGCTGGCTCGGAAAGCCACGTCAGCCTCCATGCGTGCTCCAGAGGACCAGCGGGAAGGAGGCACACTAATTTTGCCAAGGCTGGGAGCGTGCAGAACGAGTGTATGGCCTCCACGTCAGTTGTGCAGATACCACAAGGGCTAATGCTCTTGGCCCAGGACATGTTGATGCTCAAGAAAGAGAAATCAATGGGACTTAATCTCGTTGGATTCTGCCTGTAAGCCTTAAAGTTAATCGGCAACTAATGCTATGTAACAGTGAGGTTGAATTGGCTGGTGTACTATATGCAAATATATAGTACTGTGTACGTATCTTCTCTTGGCACTCATTAAAGCAAGTTTGCCCAAAGTAGCCATTCTGAAAGTTTTTGAACAGAGCGAAAGGAGCAGGCCATGGAAGCCATTGGATGGCACATACTTCCTGCATTTCCTGGAAGAATCACATTATTTAAAGATCCTAACCTCAGGGTCATGGCTTAAAACAGAAAAAAATTGTCAAAATGATCAAAACTTGATGAAATCCTAGTAAAGTATTACATTGGCCACTGGGACGATGGATTTATTAATCATAGGAATACCAAGACGCAGTAGCCAAGCATGTCACATCCAACAGTGGTGACCAAAGTGGGATTCTTGAAAGTCACTGGAAGGATGGCAAGAAGGAAATGTTAGCAACTGGTGAAGAAAACGCGAGTTATTAAAGAGCTTTTTCTCAGGTAGATTTGGCTGCCTTTGGTGGAGGAAATGAATGGCTATTCGGCCAGCAGAACTGTTTTGCGCTCTTGGCTTGTTTGCATGAGTCATTTTTAGATACAGGCATTACTCTGTCAGTTTTTATTTTATTAAAGAGTTAATTTGAGCACTTGTTTGTATATTCTGTTTACAAGAGCAAAATGGGATGCTGTCAAATAGAAACTGTGGGCCGGCTGGGCTCAGATGAAATGGACCGTCTGTCTTCCATGCCGCTTTGTATTTGCAGTGAAGTCCTAGACACCTCGTTGCGTTTCCAAGGGAACAAAACTATTTGCAGACAAAGCTCTCGGAAGAAAAGCTGCCTGGCTGGGAAGGAAACTTCCTGCAGGGCTAGCAGGAAATTTTGGGCCTGTACCCTAGAGGCAAGAGGCTGAAAAAGTAATGTAGATTAGGACACAGAGCAGCCTGGGGACCGGAGCAGTTTTATAACAAGGGGAGCATTTGCTAACTTGGAACGTGATTCAAAACTGTTTGCCATGGAACAAAGCCTTCTAGTGCTTTTGCTTCTTAAGAACCAGAGGCAGCAACAGAATAACCGTGTGTTTCTCTCACCTGGGAGGTTTAAAATTGCCACACTGCCTAACCTGAACAAGCCCCAGTAGAGCAATGGCCACGGATGCAAATTTCCTCCCCACATTGTGAGATGGTCCCGTTCTGTCTAGCAACAAAAGAGGCATTCTACTGATACATTTAATAAGAAATGGAATTAATAACTATGTTGGGACTCTTCGCAAAATTTAATAGACCATCTTACCCCCGTAGGGTCAAAATGTCTAGTTTTTCATCTTTGGGGCTTGTATACAACGCCACCCCCCTTCTTAGGAAAAATTTTGGAACAGTAACTCCAGATAGCCATTTATGAGATCCTGGCTTAAACATTTTATTCCTTGTTGTAAAACAGCATGCGTCATTAGGTTGGTATAAACTGCCAAGACGGTGTCAGCAATTGGGCGGTAGAGAAAGAAAATAAACAGTAATAATTATCCACACTAGTTCACTTTTTTCAGAGAAAAAAACAAAAAGGCTTTTGAGGAAGAAGGGGAAAAATGGTTTTCCCAGGCCTTCGCATCCACTTTTTCCCATAGTAAAATTTAGTCCGCTGCAGAAGGTATCTAAATTTGTAGAAATCTATCCATGCTCGGTTGATCATTGGTTAACATTTTGCCTTGAAGCCAAGGATAAAAGAATGTGAAGAGAAAGATGCTGCAGAGATGTATTTAATATTGTGAGTTCATCAAAATAGACCAAATGCCATTTTAAAAGCAATGGCCGGCATTCAATGTAGGCTTGTCGAAATTTACTAGCTGAAATTTACTTCTCCAAATTTAACCAAAAACTTGCACACAAACTTGCTGGCGACAGTGACGGCTAGATGCCATTTTAATTCCCAAGCTGGTCCTACCAGGTAGCGATTAGGTGCTGGTGGTGTGGAAGGAACAGCCATGGACTGACCAGTCAACATCGTGGTAAGTTTGGGCATTTATTCAAAGAGCAAAATACAAAAGATTCTAGGAAATAACCTACATGATACAATTCTGCACTGTGTAGTGCGCACGGAAAACTAGTACAGAATGGTCCCTTAAACCAAGGCAGGTTGGTTATGTACATTCAAAAGGAAAACAAGCCGAGAAAGGAAGGACTGACATTTGCCAAAGTGAGAAGTTCCCGCTTTACGCACACGCATGCAAACGTTGCTTTTCCTTCCATCAGAGGCAGCCCTCAGCCTTGTTTTGGAGGCCGGAAAACCCGAAGCAGGTGGTACCCCACTGGGCTGGCCACTCGAAGAGGAAGGGAGGCGGCTGGGGCCCTTCCTCCATCAGCTTGCTTCACTTTCGGCCATCAATGCGGTGCAGCTGGCGCCCCCAAGGTCCCGAGCGGCACCGCTGCCACCCGGCTGGCGCCTTCCCCAGCATCCTCCCAGTGCCCCAGACCGCCCCTCCAAAGAGGGGCCCTGGCCCATTTCTGCGCCACTGGCAGCCCAGACACGGGCTTGACGGCGCTCGAGTGGGAGGACGGACCTTCACTCTGACATGACGAAACACAGACATTCGCAAGGAAGGTTTTCTTTACAACACAGCATTTCACAACGATCCAGTGTTCCACTGTAGGTTACTTTGAATCTTTAACTGACCGGCAGGTAACATTTCGTATGAGTGCAAAAGAAGCTGGACGTGAGTGTTCAAGACATGCCACAAGCCTCGGCCCGGCGCCCGTAAATCAGAGACTGGCTCTAGGCCAGCGAGGCAGGTGGGAAAGTGACTTGACGCTCGCTTTGCCCCGCAAACTGGAAAAGGAAGGGCCCGCACCCCGACATCCCCATGGCTTCCCCATCACATCACTTTCTTGTCCTGTTTTTACAGGGGGAAGTTAGTAAGTTGATGTTCAATTTGACTGCGCTGATAGAGCTGCATTTTCTCTAGCTTAGGTCACTCTGCTCTTGCAACACGGCCTGCGATAGTCTTGCCGAAAGCCACCCTTCCCAGCTCTCGAGGCCCACCCTGCCCCCTCGACTAGGACAAGAACGTCGATTTGGACAATCTGGATCCCGCGCCTGCAGCTGCCCCTGGATTTCCAAGCTGCGCGACGGTGCGGCATGCGCTGGGCCCGGGCGCCCGCCATGGCTGCTCTCCCTCGGTGGTCCTCTGACTGCGGGACCCCCCCTCTTATTTCCCCACTGTGCAAATGCTGCAGTATCTTTAAGCCTCCTACCTGCCTCACCTGCATACACATGATGCTGGAAGGAATGCATGGCTGCTGTTTTTCTACTCGCTGGCTCTCTGCAAAGCGAGAGAGAATCCTCGACTGCTTGGGTAAGACAACTTCAGACAAACGGAGAAGCAAGAGGGAGCGGGTGGAGTATTCCGGACCCTGCTTGCTCCATCAAACCTGTAAATCCACATCAGAATTTGCAGATCTTTTTCCAGATCAGGAAACTCTCAGGCAGCGCATGTCTGTTTAAAGCTGGGAAGTGGCTAATTACAGCTAATTATTTATTAGCAAATTAATTATTTGCCTTGCCCTGGTTTTGCCCTGAAGCTTCCTAGGGGGAAAATGTACACGTGGGGGGAATGGCCCCACCACCCACTCACTTGCCGGCCACGCAGACAACCCCCGGGCTGCCCTTTCGCTGCCTCCCCCCGTTTTAGAGACCCAGTAGCACAGAGCCAGATTTAGCTAAAGTAACTGCTGCGCAGAGGGAGGGGGCAAGTTCTTCCTGCATTACTGGGGGGGGGGGCGATAAGCCTCCTTTTTAGCACTGTCCCCCATTCTGGTCTGGCAATGCCTGTTTGCACAGGTGCCGCCCCATCCGTGCAGCTGCCAAAAGGGGTGCTTTTTGGAGTGGGAAAAAGCTTTTGCATACAGCATGCAAAGACAGACACCCACCTGCCTCTTCCACCTCTGAGCTCAGGACTACGCCCACTGCCTGCCCAGATGCTAACCGCTACTCTTATTTCATGGTCAGTCGAAAAGAAGCACCTGGCCGCCATCACGGTTTGTATGGAGGCAGGGCGGGGCGTTTGCTTCCAGGCCATTTCTCCCGCTTGAACTGCTCCCGTAGATTTGGGCAGGAAGGAGAATTCACTGCAGAGCAATGCTTCCGAGAAAATGGAAATGGAATTGTCTGTGCTGGTTCTGCATGCAAGATGCTCGCCAGTTTGGGGACTACCCTTTCGGCCGGTGTTCCATGTCTGTGCTCCTTACCCGAGCACATGAGAGCTGAAGGGCTCTCCCCCCCTTCCTCCTCTGGTAAGAAAACCTGGTGTTGCCCTTGCGCTCCTTTGACCCCCGTGCACATGGCGGCTTTGCCCTTACTTTGCTGTGGGAGAGGCCAAGCTTGCCCCAGTTCTGGGAAGGCCTCATCTTCCCACCGCACAGGAATACAACAAAGCGAAGGCCGAAGATGGTGGCTCTCCCCCTCAAAGATAGGAGAGGAAGCAGGCCCCCCGTCTCATGTCTAGCCTCTGCAGGACCAACCAAGCAGAGCTTCCTTTCAGCGCTTTCCCAGGAGTGGAACCGGTCTCAGAAATGGAGCCCACACAGAGCTGCGAAGGCTGGAGGGCTCCAGGCCAGGGGACCAGCACCTCGGTGCCTCAGCTGGCCAACGGCACACGCTTTTACTGTTGGGGGGTGTAGGAACCCACTAGATAACTAGCCCCCTTCGAGCCCGGAAATTCTCTGTGGGTGGCACATTCTGGCAACAATGAAAGTCCCGCTGAAATGGGAGAAGGCTGCTTTTCCAAGAAGAGCACAGAGCTCTGGGGCTACCTCGTTTCCCAGTTCGTTTCTGGAACGATTTTATCATCTGAACATCTATGGATAATTAGGAAGTGATGCAAAACAGCACGAGGGAAACCTGAAACAATCAAGCTAGACAGCAGAGCATCATTAATTTTTAGAGAAAAAACTATACTTCGAAATGAGTGTCACTTAACAATGCTGCAGGCACAGGCCCTGTCACAAACACACCCGAGTGGTGAAGACCGGTACATACGAATTCAGATTTGATCAAGGGAGAGCTTTGTTTAAAATCAACATCGGCCAGTATCAAAAGAGAGAGTCTCTTCTTCAGTATTCTACTCAACTGTGACAGATTTGGCCAGATTTCTTGGAAAATCAACCTGCAAAAAAGAAGAAAGGAGGACTGTGAGGGACAAAAACTTAAATAAAAGGGCATTGCTGTGGGAAATTGCCTGCACCTTGCCATATAGATCAAAGGAGTGGATCCAAACTGCAGGGAATATGTCATGTGTGGAAACCTAAGCGAGGTCTGGGGTGAGTAGTGTCTGTCATGACGATGGAGGTGGCGATCAAGCACTTCACAAAAGTCAGCTTCTCTCTCAGTCTCTCGCCCCCTTCTCTGATCAGCCTTTACAGGTCAGAAAAAGGGCCCGCCCAGCACCACGCTCCGGGGCTGCATGTTCTCCTTTCCAGCCAAACGCAGTGCAGCAAGGAGTCACTACGGATTCCCACGGACCACCCCCCTTCCCTGGTGACCCAAGGACATGCTTTCTCGGAGCTGCCCCACAGGCAGGGCTGCTCCGTTGGGAACGCCTTCCCTGCAGAGCGGAGTCAGAGAAACCACAGAATCGGTGGCGAGGCTGCCAGCACTCCGAATACGCAAGCGGGAGACTTGAGCACAGCAGAAATGCAGAATGCTGATGCCACGGGGGAAAAGGAAAACTGTTCCCCTGAAACAGACAGGCGGGGGCGGGCAGGGGGATGCACACCATCACTTTTTCTCTGTTCTAAACTTGCTTGAGAGCAGGAATGAAGAATGTACCATTTAGCCTCCGGCAAGGTACTCCCACGAGCCAGTGAGAGCCTGCTGGCTGGGGCGCAGGAGAGGCAGACCCCCCCCCCCCGGCCCAGGTGCCCCCGGAGGGCTCGCCACCTCGCTCTCGCGCAGGGAAGCCAGCCGCCCCACGCGGAGGCGCAGAGCCTACCGGGGGCTCCCCAGGGCGGCACTCACGTCGTAGCCCCTGAGGACGGCCAGGTGGAAGGCCAGCAGCTGCAGCGGGATGACGCTCAGGATGCCCTGCAGGCAGTCCACCGAGTGCGGGACCTTGATCGTGCGCTTGCTGTTCCTGATGGTCTCAATGTCCTCCTTGTCGCAGATCACGACAGGCCGCCCCTGCGAGGAACGCCGGGTCAGGGGCCGCACCCACGCCGGGGCAGAGGGCGCAGAGAGGCCCCGGGGTGCATCCCCCAACTACCACTGCCCGCCGCTTAAGTCGAAGGCACAGCACGGGCTGGTCTGCCCAAGAGATCGGCTCCCCCGGGAGCTCGTTCCCGTGGACGCACCATTTTTCCATCTAAGCTGCGCCGCCATCAGAAAGGGGCACATGCCGCACCTCGCTTATTATATGCCCCTTTGCCCCCGGAAACAAATCTAAGAACCAGATTTTGGGGTATTTACCACCATTCCCCTAATTACTGGCTAGTATTAATGAAAATGGGCACGATATCCATCTTTCCTACTTTACCCCCAATTAGTCAGAACCCAATCAAATTGGCGTTTAGTCTTGGGCTTGCTCACACGTTCCAGAGTCAGCCAACTTGTTAGCTCCAAAAGGCTGCCTTTGTGGAGAAGAGGAACACTCAAGAGAGGCCCACCTCTTTTTCTGCTTCAAGTTTCTAGTCCTCATGTGCTGCCTGGCAAGTAATCCACACTCCCCGCATTCAGTGCCCACCTTCACCAGCTTGAATGCGCAGGCTGAACGGGATGCTAGTAGCCAGCTGTATTTCTTTGCATGTCTGTCCCCCTTGTGCATGGCAAGGGGGAGGGCTGGTTTTCTGATCAAGCGGAAGTTACGTGCGAGGCAGTGACCCCGCCCCCAATGCAAATCTCGTCATCGCTCTCCATGATTTCCGGCATTCTCCCGCCCCGCTTCCTGCACCAGCAAGGGTTCAGCCGAACGGGTGCTCTGGCTCACGTTTCGCTTCCAAGGCCAAAAGAGATTCTGGCCCCACACAAGGAGGGCAAGCACTGTGGTAGGAGCCCTGCCCTTGGAAGCGTCTGTAAGAGGGAAAACATTGCCCGGCTTCAGTCAGGAACCGGACATCCTGAGGACCGTCCGTTTGTCCCTCCCTGCTCCGAAGAGGGAAGACTTCGAGGTCACCGAGCCAACGGGATAGGAAGCATGGTAGAGAACTGCCCGAGCCAAAGTCGGCCACTCCGCCTCCCCAGCCCCTTCGGAGCACAGGCCTGCTTCCCTGAACTGAGCCTGGGATTCAGCCAGGGCTACAGACCTGGACAGACCAATCAAGCTGGGACAGACAAAACGGGCGCTTCCTTCCCATCCTGTCGCAACATAATTTATACTGTTAAATTACACTGTTTTATAGGATGTTATTTATTTATGTCTGTGAGCCACCCCGAGGCTTCGGCGAATGGGGCGGCATAGAAGTCCCCTGAATAAACAAAACAGAGCAAGCGCTTCCGATCCCCCCGACAAGCGGAGGGACTGGGCAAGGGGAGAGAGCTGGGGGCAGGAGCCCCGTCCCCACCCGAGGGCCCAGGAGGAGCCCGGCTGGCTTACCTGCCGCGCGATCACCTGCTGCAGCGCGTTCTGGCACTTGGCGTAGGTGTTGTCCCGCATGATGATCATGATGACAGGCATGAGCTTGTCCACCAGAGCCAGGGGCCCGTGCTTCAGCTCGCCGGCCAGGATGCCTTCCGAGTGCATGTACGTGATCTCTTTGATTTTCTGGGGAGACGGCACAGTGCGTCAGGCGGCCTCCCCAACCCGCGCCCTCAGCCGACGCAGGGTCACAACACAACGAGCGAGGAAGCACACTACGTCGGTTGGAAAGCCGTGGCAGAGACCCGGCTTTCACAGGAGATAAATAACCCAGCAGCTCGCAGCTCAGATTACGATTTTACAATGCAGCATGGAAGTCTTAGAAACAAGCAATGCCCTTCTCTTCTGCCCGAGGAGTTCCATGTTACCGTTGTTCGTCCCAGGGAATTAGTTTTTGAAGTCAGTGCACTGAACTGTCATTTATTCTGAAAACCCTGAGCCGAACCCAGACACACTACAAAACATCGCAATTCATCTTTCTGCCCTTTTACTCAGTTTAGTTTGAGATGCTGTGAGGGGAGTAAAAGAACTCTAGAAAGCATTAATATCTTTTTACCTGTTATTTCCACTCTTTTCTAAATATCCTGGTTACTCTGATTCTTTTTATCTCAAGATATTTTTATCCAATCAATCCGATTTTATCTCCTTGACTACAGCCAAATACTGTTCGATAGTTCGTACAGTGCATGGTAGAATTAACCCTAAATGTTGCTAGGTCTACCAGAATGCTTTTATTTACTTTATCTTAATTACTGTAATTTTACTAGTACTGTATTTTTCTTATTTTTAACTAATTGCAATTTGGTGTTTTATTTATTGGCTGGTCAATGACCAAATAAAGGATTGATTGATCGATTGTCTTTTTACTCCCGGCATTTGGCAGGCGGAAGTCAAAACTGTCTGCATGTACCAAGAAGCCTTCACTGCAAAAACAGCCGGATGGATGGGGGGCACGCCGGGGTCTGTCCCCTCACCTGCTCCTCCCAGGCGTGTCCCCTGGGACCCCGCGGCAAGACTGGCTGCCCCTCCCCTCCTCCACCCTGAGGCCTCCGGGGCTGGCTGCACTCCCCGCTCGCACACCCTGCTCCCTTCTTCCGGGGGCTGCCCTTTGCACGCACGGCTTCTCCGGCCGGCGTCCCAGCGGCGGGGCACGCAGCGAGGGTCCGATGCGAGGGAGAGGAAAGAGGCCCCTTACCAGAGCACCCTCCAGGCATGTCGCATAGTGGTACCCGCGCCCCATGATGAGGACCGACTTCTGGTGGTAGAGCTCCGTGGCCAGCTTCTGGATCTCGTCGTCCATGCTCAGCACTTCCTTAATCAGATCTGCCACAAGCGGCAAAAGGGGGGGGGGCGGAGGCACACAGGGATGCGGTCACACACACGGGAACTGCACCCACGTGCACACAGGGCAGGCACCGGAGGGCTGGGCGGGGGGAGCAGAGCGGCCGTGCCCCCTGCAAGCGGGAACCAGGCCGGAGCCTCCCTGGGCACGGGGGCCTCCAAATCCTGGCCCAGCCCTCCTCAGAGAAGCCAGGGCCTGAAGCGTGAGGGCGGCTTATGCACCTGGACTTGGTCAACGAGTTACCTGGTTGCAGACATAACACCCCACTTTCTGGGAAAGCGCTCTGTGTGAACACAAACAGGTGCAGGAAAGAACGGCATTTGTGGCATTTAAGAACCATCCTAGAAACAGAGCAACATACGTTTCCAGTGCCCGGAATTCCCGCATTTCTAAAGGACTTTCCTTTGGGCTAAAGGATCTTCCAGCGGGATGGACCGCTGCCTTCCTAGGAGCACACGGCTCTGAAAACTGCTCTTACAGATGCCAAAATGGATCGCATTTTAGAACTTCTGCTACATCCATTCCCGCTTTTTTGACCAGAAAAATGGCACCCCACGCAACCGCTGCCGAGGAGGAATCTAGCTTGTGAGCAGGTAAATGCCACCTTGTTAGTGCTGCTGAGTTGCTGCAAATCCTTAAAACCGATTTAAAATTGCATTTACTCTTTATTCACAACAATACAGTGAGCAAAGAAGCCTTCTCCAGCTAACACGGGAGTCTGGCGTGGGGCAACGCACCCCAAGACAATCCAAGAGAGGGGCAAACAGCCTGCCAGGCGCTGGAATGCAAATGAAAGGGGGCCCAGGGAGCTCCCCCAGGCAAGGAGTCCCACGGTCTGGGCACAGCCACTCAACAGTCAGTCCCAGCCAAGCCTCTGCTCTTGTGCTGATCAACCTATCAAGACCCATTTAATGCTGATTTTAAGTCTTCCTGCATAAGCCAGATGGCAGGAAAAACTTTTTTATTCTATTTACTTCCTTTCACTCTTCAGCCCAACTAGTAATGCTTTAAAAACCTGCCCAAATATTGTGCCAGAGCTGAAGTGGTTTGATTTTAGTTGCTGAACTCAGAGAGGATGGATTAAATCTATCCCAAGCTACTGGACTTTAGGATTCTTCTAATTAAGGAAGGTGCCCCACCCTTGTGGCCCGGAACGGCAGCCCTCCTTTTCTTCGCTCTGCTTTTACGCCGTGCTCTGGAGGGAGCTCTAGAGAGCAGGGACGGAAATATCAGCCTGGGGCACTAACTGCCTGCCCACACCCTGGCTTGTAAGCCAGTTAACGCGGCCTGTTTTCCCCAGTACCTAAAACCACCGACTGCAGAAACCCTGGCGCTGCGGACATCCACGCACATGGGAACACGCGGGTTAACACCCTCAGAGGGCCGGGCTTGTCTTTGCGGTGCTGGGCATCGCTGGCACCCACCTGGCAGCAGCTTGAGGCCTCGCATTATTTCTTTCCGCCTTTCTTGCATGGAAATTCTGTCGTCGCACATCATGAGTGCAAACATCACTAGGGAAACAAACTGGCTTGTGTAGGCCTAGGGAAAAGAGAATTCCACGATGCATCATTTGCTAAAACGGACAGCACAGGAGGGTCATGCCGGGCACACGGCGGCCTTCGCGGTGCCCTGACCATGTTTTCCAGCCGAGCTCTTCCGTGGGGCCCCGGAGGGCACCAGCTGGCCCTTCCTCCAGTGTGAAGGTGGACGCCATGTCCAAGATAATGCCCTTGCCACCTTGCTTAGCTCAGGTCACCTCCAGCCCGAAGGAGCCTGGAGATGACCGGTCGAGTCTAGCTTATAAGCCAACGTCGAGCGTGCCGCATGCAGACTGTCTCCCTGGCCCGGCAGACCAAGCGGACTTCTGGGAGGGGGGTGTTCAAGCCTGCTGGGAATGCAAGAGGCCAGCCCCCCCAGCTCCCCGTGGGGACAGACGCCTCGCCTAGGGAGGCCGTGGGCTGCGCTTCCAGGTCCACGTCGACGGAGCCTGCCCCCTAGTGGAAAGCAGGAGAATGCCCGAGGTGCCGGACGGCAAGCGAGTGGGGCTTGCAAGCCCCCCAGGACGACAACGGCCTCTAATTTGGGATTTCCACCCCCAAGAAGCCGGTTGTTCCAGCCGATGCCATTAGCTGCATTTTCAGTTCACCTGCCCATGCGGTTTTCCCAAGTAAGGACCGTCTGGGCTCACGGCGAAACCTTACCCTGAACAGTGACCGCGTTTGCCAGAAACATAATCTCAAGTGGAAGGAGACTGCAATGCGCAACAGCTGGTGTTGCTGGGACTCTGCCAGGCGGCTTCGGGACGCAACACGCCAAGCACTGCCGCTGGCCCAAACGGGCAGCCCACGCACACGAGCCATACACTGGGTGTGGACCGGGCAGAGCTGGGCTGCAGCCCCCACCTATTTGGGGAGCAGATTTTGCAGGTTTCAATTTTCCTTGTGGGAAATGGCAAACCTATTTCCAAGGGAGCTAATGCAGCCTAAAGCAAGTCGAACCTGGCCGCCGTTACCTCACTTCACATCTGTACCAAGAAGTGAATTCATAGCATTGTAGCCAATTTAATACTGCAGCGGTTCTCTTTCTATATAGGTATACAACTTACCTTAAAAGGAAGAAAAGGAAATAGCTTGATTGCTTTATAGAAATTCAAGAGGAAAACTGCACATGGAACCTGCTTGGCAACCTTTATAAGGTGGATTGAAGGGTAGGGGAAAGGGGAAAATTGCCGCCCGGAGAGGGGGGCACAAGAAGGGGGTGAGGACATTTATGGAAGCAGGGAGGGAAACTTGTGGTTTTAAGCACTTGGGGAGCCTCCCAATAAACGGTCCCTGGAAAGCTACGGCTGGGAGTCTCGCGATTTACAGAAACTTTTGCAGAATAATACAGAACACAGGAGCGGTGTCCTTCGCTCACGTGAAATAAGCCATGCCTAACGCTGTACGTGTCCTCGGGATTCCCACCCGTGCTATTCGTAACTCTGCCTTGATCTCAGCCCCATGTGAAAAAATGCGGCAGCCCGGAAGACCTGGGCATCTGGAAAGGCTCCGTAAGGGAGGCCAGACAATCGTCCGGAGCGTTAGGAATGCAACACGACTGAGATTAGCTGCTCAGCTGGCATTAAAACATCGATTTTCTACGTAATGTTTGAGCTTGCCTATGCTGAAACTCTTGGATGCGGCGTTGCACAAATCCAGGGACACAGGACAACCCAGGGTGTGAACTGCAGGGTGGAGGGAGAGGAATAATAGTAGAGCTATTGGCCTTTCGCCTTTTGCAGAACTCAAAGGGGCTCACATCCGTCTCTCCTGCTGCTCTCCATCTTATCCCCACTAGATCAACCCTGCGAGGTAGGCTGGGCTGACAGTCTGTGACTGGCCCAACATCACCCAGCTGGTACCATGGCTGAGCAGGGACTTGAACCCGGATCGCCTGCGTCCCAGGCCCACGCTCTTAACCACTGTACCTCACCACCTCTCTGAACAAAGGTGAATGTCGATTCAGCTCTGAACGTGTTCATCACCAGCCCTACACGCACCCTGCCAATGGAGCAGATGCACCACACTCCACAGTCTTTCTAAAAATTTCACCACAAAACAGTTCAACAAATCATGAACAGTGTGACTATGTTGGAAAATGCACAGCCTGTAAATTCCATTTGCCGGAAAGCACCGTAACAAGTTGTCTGCAAAATTTAGACCTTCAAATTGTCAAAAAGGTTAAATACTTGGGATTTTTTTCTTAAAGCTATATGTGCTACATTGAAAGAAGATAATTATGTTAAACTATCTAAGGAAATTAAAAGTGATCTGGAAAAATGGGCTAATTTGCAATTATCATTGTTGGGAATAATAGCAATAGTTAAAATGAATATATTACCAAAGCTCTTATTTTTATTCAAAACAATTCCCAAAAAAATTGATACAATTTTTTTTATGATTTAAACACCCAAATTTTGAGATTTATATGGCAAAAGAAGAAACCAAAGATTAAATTAAAAATGCTTCAGGAGGCCAAAGGGAATGGGGGTTTTGGCCTTCCTGACTGGATGCTGTATTATCAAGCTTCTGTCTTAATGTGCTTAAAAGAATGGATAACCTTAAGAAATAAGAGAATCCTTTACCTTGAAGGGCATGATCTACAAATGGGATGGCACGCTTATATGTGGTATGAGAAGTGTAAGACACATGGTTGTTTCTTAAATTATTCTATTAGAAAGTCATTAATGTCAGCTTGGGAAAAGCGAAAGACAGAGCAGTATACCAAGTTGCCGAGGTGGCTTTCTCCCATGGAAGCTCTTGCATATCCAAATGCACTGAATTTTAATATGATTGTGAGATATGATGACAGTTTGGATACTGATGGAAAATAGAAACCGAATCAAGAACTACAGGAGCAGGGTATTGATATTTCTTGGGGGTGGCACTAGGTTCAAATACAATCGAGATATGTTAAATATTACAAAATGTGTGGTTTTTATAAGGAATTAACAACATTTGATCAAATGATTTTAAAATCAGATGAAAAAATGATCAAAGACTATATAATTTTTCTTTTGGATATGAGAATGGAAGACGAACAAGTTAAGGAAACCTTGATAACATGGGCACAAAATTTTGGATACAATATTGAGTTAGAGAGATGGCAAAAGCTGTGGAAAAGAAATATCAAGGTAACCTTAGCAACCTCATATAAAGAAAATCTTTATAAAATGTTTTATAGATGGTATCTATCGCCAAATAGATTAGCAAAAATGTTTCCAAATATGTCAAATGGATGTTGGAAATGTAAACATAAACCTGGTACTTTTTATCATATGTGGTGGACTTGCGATATGGCAAAAAAATACTGGGTTAAAATACATAAATGGCATGAGGAAATGTTACAAAAACCTTTAATATTTAAACTTGAAGTTTTTGTATTAGGCATTATTTCTGATGACTTTGATAAACAAGCAACATATCTGATTCTACATGTAGTAATTAAAGCAGCAAGGATTGCATTTGCCCAACACTGGAAGAGTGAAGATCTTAAAAAAGGCCTTGGACTGCGTAGAAATTGACAGATTGACCTTGTCTCTGAAAAAGGATACGTACTTCTATCGAACTTGGGACTCTTTTTATTATTGGCTAGAGAAACGGGACGATGCGCAGATCTGAATATGGTTATGGACTGTTAAAAAAAAAAAAGAGTAGGGGGCTGACCCAGTGTGCCCAATGTCTTTGGTGACTGATGTTTTAGTCTTAGTTTGTAGAAAAATAATAATAATAAAACTCGTTTAAAAAAAAACCCAAGTTGTCTGCCAAATTGATTGACTGACTGAAAGCTTTTCTAACCTGTCCACTACAAGCATCTTGGGCCGGCTTACACAATGTCCCCTTCTTTTTCTCACACAGAGCAGTGTGACACAGTTCCCGGCTCAGCAAGTCTTACTTATCCGCTCTGGATAAGTAAACGAGGTTTTATCAGTGACCTCAGGGCTCTGCGCACTGGGCTGTGAAACCAGTAGCTGGGAACGGGACGCCAACGATCAGCTCCTGGGAAAGCTGAGGCATGCTGCAGACGGGGAATGCCCAAAGGCGAACGTAACGTTAGTGCTCCTGCTCCCCGCCCCTCAGCTCCAGGCTGGGACTGCATTTCCCACACACCCCTTTCCAAACGGCAGAAAACAGAGCTGGGCTTAGATATGGAAGATCAAGGCTTAACTTTCCACTACGCCATGCAGCTTACTGGCATTTTTTTTTTAACCAAGTCACCACTCTCATCCAAACTTCTCGTGCAGGACAGGATGCAAAAGGAAGGCATTTTCCCACAGCTTCTGCACGCTGAATCTAAACTGGGAAGGGGCCCCTGCATCTTGCCCTGCTCACACCACCTCCCTCTGGCAAAACCTCTTCCTTCCACTGATTACACGCATTCTGCGCACGTTCAGACACGGGATTCTGAAGAGATGCGCACCGCACGTCTCCGGGGTTCAACCTGCAATGGCCTCCTAAGTTCTCCCAGGGTGGCACTCGCCCCTGGATGCCTCTCACCTTGGTGCTGGCCACCCCGATCTCGGGTCCCGCGTTGATATGCACCCCGCAGTCTGTCTCCCGAGATATCGAGCTGCCCACGGTGTTGGTGATCCCCACCGTGAGGGCGCCTCTCTCCTTGCAGTACCGAAGGGCCATGAGAGTGTCTGCAGTTTCACCTGTCATATAGGAATAGCGCTGGGTCAGGATAAAGGATTCAGTGACAGGGTGAGGCCTCTCTGCTCTCTGCCTGAATCCAAGAAGGCCCAGAAGCCAGGCTGGTAAATGAACTAGCCACTCATTCTCAGGAGAATTCCTCCTGCTCGCCAATATGGCACAATATGGCACAATAATGACTGAACTTCATTATTTTATTTTGGGGTTGTTTTTATGATTTAGGGCTATTTCATTCCTCGAAGCTGATCTTAAACCAAGCGCAGAAAAGCACTGAAGAAATCCTTTAAAAAGAACATAATAAATTTTAGCGAGGACCAAATGGCAGCCACACAGACAGGGGGAATTGCAGATGTGATCCATGTTTAAACTGTGCTCGGGAAGCACCGTGTTTTTGGAATGGTGCACAGTGTGAGAATAAATTATACAAACATCACCACTTTGCATCCCAAGAAAGTATTACAGCCAGCGAAGCAAGAGCTATGTGATACAAGCTGCCACTAATGCTACATTCTGGGAAGAAATTTCTTGGCATGTGTACCTACTGCAGAATCCATTTGACACAAAGCAATTCTGGACGGATCTACCTGGACAGGTGGTTGGAGAGAAGAACGGTTCAAACGGCGGTTAAGCAGTAAGGATTGCTACTTAACCTCACCGTTGCAGTCTTTTTACAACAATACCTTTGGTCCATGAGGAAACCCTCTGTCCAGTTTGCCACCCGTAATCATAGTGAAAATTCTATACAAGTAGCAAGAGAAATAGCCAATCGGTTGCTAAAAGAATACAGGAAAACCTGCAGTTGGCAGCAGAGGGTGTCAAGCTCTCTCGGCCTGCATTCCTCTGGCATGTTAAGAGAGGGAAGATCACGAGCAGTGTGTCCACGAAGGCAGGCCGCGCTCAGCCGATTTTAGGGCCTGGCCTAGGAAAAAAGCAGTTGCTGCAGGAGGCCAGAGTGTGAGACAGCTTGAGTGGCGTCTGAGGCGCCCAGGGCTGCTCCAATAACTCTCCAGAACCAAGGGTCCTGGGAAGAAGATGCGCCATGCTGCTTTTGGCTGCTGCTCCACTGAGCCGCTGGCGCAATCCAAGTAAATGCCTCAGGCCCTTCGGCCGCCACTTTTGCTCGTGCTCTAATTTCCAACTTGGGCTGGAAGAGCATAAAAAGCAGCCAAAACTATGTTACTGCTGCAAAGTAATTCTAACTAGTTGTACTACAACACATTAATTAGTATTATTATTAAGAGGACTTGTTTTAGAAAAGTAGCCAGCAGCCCAAATGTGTGCCTACAGTCACGCGCGAGCACCAACATGGTTGGACCTGCAGCTAATATATAAAGCCAGTTTTCCTGCGAAACTCAAACTCTCCCAGCAAAGCACAGGTGCTCTTTATTTTGCCACGTGCGCCAGAGTTTACTCTCAGCTTTCAGCCTTGTACCCAGACCAGAAAGTGCCCCTGGCCCAGGAAATCTTGCCGATTAGTCTCACATAACCCCCATCCTCTACCAGCTTCACTGGCTCCCCATCGAAGTCCGGGCTCAATTCAAGGTGCTGGTTATCACCTACAAAGCCCTTAACGGCTTGGGACCCAGATACCTGAAGGAACGCCTTCTTCCATATTTGCCCTCCCGCCCCTTGAGATCGGCAGCAGAGGCCCTCCTCTGGGAGCCCTCCGGGAGAGATATCAGGAGGCAAAGTACCCGGAGGAGGGCCTTCTCTGCGGTGGCGCCCCATCTGTGGAATGCGCTCCCCAGAGAGGTCCGCCTGGTGCCGTCGTTATTTCTTTTTCGGCGCCAGGCTAAAACCTTTTTATTTAAACAATACTTTAACAATTCATAATAATATCTATAGGTTTTAATTTTGCAGCCAGGGTGATTCTGGGTTTTTAATTGTATTATTTTACTATGTATTGTGTTTGTTTATTTTACGTGAGCCATCCTGAGGCTATAAGTGATGGGACAGCAGACAAAAATTCTAAATAAAATAAATAAATAAATAAATAAAATAAACAAACATCCGGATCTGAGCAGGCTGAGCGCAGCAGCAGCACAAAACCCTGGCCGGGAAAAGCCCCGCGACCCGTCCCCCGCCCGCATGACGGTGGGAAGGGCTGGCCAAGAAGCACCTCGTGCTACAAGCCCCTGCCGCGAAGTGCAGCCTGGCCGTGTCCTCGCGGCTCCCTCAACAGGCAGCCCTCCTTCCCCCACGCCGGCGGGCAACGCCCTGGACTGCCCCAGCGCAGCCTCGGCCTGCGCCACTCCGTGAGCGCCGAGCTGCCCGCTAGCCCAGGCCAAACCGCACCTGACTGACTGATGAAGAAGCACACGTCGTCTCTGAAGACAGGCGTGTTCCTGTCCAAAAAGTCGCTGGCTAGTTCAACCATCACAGGCAGCTCCGTCAGTTCTTCCAACACTTGGCGCGTCTGGTTGGAAAAGGACAAAGAAGAGCAGAGGAAGTCGCACACTTCTCAGCCTGTAAAGCCGCGTGGCAGATTCTGGAGAGAATGCCGTCTTCCTGCACAGACTAGAAGTCTGTCTTAGTTTCCTCTGCCTTAGTTTCATGGAACAAAATGAGGAAGAAGAGGATATGCCCTTTCCAAGTTCAACAGATCTTCTAGTCTGTGCAAAACCAGGGGAGTGTCCAAAGTGAGGACTGTTCAGACGGATCCTCACAGCCAGAAATTCAACATGTAAAAGAAACTTATCCAGTATTCCAGAACAAGCCACCTACCGACGAACTGAAAAAAGATCTCGGACTGTGCCGAAATGGACAGATTGACTCTGTCTCTGAAGGAGAAAGAAGATACAGACTTCTATCAAACTTGGAATTCCTTTTATTATTGGCTAGAGAAATGGGATTTAAATATGTTTACGGATTACCATAAAAAGAAAAAGTATGGGGAGCTGACCCAGTAGGTCTGATGTTTTTGATGATTGATGATTTTTTAGTTTCTTTTTGTTAGGCTTGTTAATTAGCAGAAAATAATAATAAAACTTACTTTTTAAAAAAAGTGTTCCAGAACAAAAAGTAATGTAAAAAGGGGGACAAAATTGTGTACAGTCAGACATTTTTTAAAGTCTTCTAACTTCCAGGATTACCCAGACAGGAAGGGATGGGTTGGGGAATGATGGGAGTCCTAAGATGCATTGTTAGTTTCAACACACCTTGGACTGCATCCTTACTGAACTTAAACAATTGTCACTTAAGAAAACCATAGTTCATGGTTACAAATAAACGAGCAAACAATGTCTTTTGCCCATTCCGCAAACCAAAACCAAAACCAACCCCTTCAACCAAAGTCTCCCAATTCAAGGTTTTCACCCCTGATTTGGATGGCAAATGCAAGCCTTAGTTTACCAGATATACTGACACACAACAACTGGGTTCACACAATATGGCAACTCAGTGGCACAAAAGCAGAGCTGTGTGAGTGCACCTAAACTTCTAACAATAATTTTAAAATAAAAACGTTTGCGCACGTTGAATGTGCAAAAAAAGAGTTACAAAAAAAGATACCTGCAGCCCCTCTGGTGTGCCGCTTGGACACTTTGAAGGGCTGTCAGAATGGCGCTATCAGGGTTACAGTGATGTGCGAACATGCGCAGGGGCATCCTCAGACCGGACGGCGGGGAGGGAGTCTGACGGCCACAGGGCTCCGGCCCAATAAGCAAAGCAGCCCACGTCTCCAGCCCTCACCCTGGCCACAGTTAGGCAGGAGGCCGCAATGGCACCGTCACTTAAACAGAAGAACAACTGAGAAGCAAGAGGTCCTTCCGTGCATCATGTGCCGATTTATAATCCCTGACTGTGTGGGAAATAAGGTGCATTTGAGGATTGCCTTCTATTTCGGTAGGATCATTGCTTATTATCATGACATTCTGTATTGGACTGTAAGCAGGCCTCCTCGATGAGGAAGCAGAGAAAACCTTACAGCGGATCCACTTCCGACAGCATCAGACAGGGCTTCCATATAGCCTGCAGTGCCTGATTCTGCCTAATCTTGGAAGCTAAGCAGGGTCAGGCCTGGATGAGATCCGGATGGGAGACCCGAGTCCTGCATTGAGCAGGCAGTGGCCCTATGAAATGCTCCTCCAGAGGAAACTGTGCAGGCAGCTACTCACGGCGACTCCGGCGTGGTAACTTGTCCCACAAGCGATGAGGATGAGACGCCGGCACCTCTGGATCTCCTTGATGTGGTCCTTCAAGCCCCCAAGGTTGACTGTGGGTGCAAAGGCTTTGGCATTAAACAGCGCACAGAAAAAGGACTTCGAGAAAGACACAGTATGGCGCCACGAAGATCCTTGGGATTATTTCGTCTGTTCAGAGTAAACGAGGGGGAAGACCCAACGCTCTACCTGCAGACTGACGGACGCAGAGGTTCTGGCAATGTATAGGCACCAGAGCGGCAAACGAGCCAGTACCAAGCCTGGCACTGTGGCAAAGCTCCTCCTCAGCACAGGGGTCACGAAGCACCCCAAAAAGGAGTGGCAAAGCTACCTTTGTGCCCCCTCCCAGAAGAGGCCACCAATCTGTTCCGTGAATATGCAGCACGTGTGACAGCAGCAGGGGATAAAAAACACAAAGCTCTAACACAAACACACCACAACGCGTTCATCTTAATTACCGGTGTAGTCATCAAAGTTGACTCTCCCTCTCATCGTGTTAACAACGGATTCGGGTTGTTCAAAAATCTCCTTCTGCATGAATGAACTGAAGTTACCTTGAAAAACAACGACAAGGGTAGGCCAGACAAAGGCAACATGAATAATATTGGAAGCAAGACTGCTATTTTGACACAGCTGATAAAACTGTGCGACAAAATGCAACTTCAGGCGTTGCACCGTCTTCCGAAATGCAAGGAATGAGATGGAGGCAGGGAATGAAGTCCAAGCTTCGCCTTTCCTGAGAGAACTCGCAAGTGACCCTATGGAAGTGGCAGGTGCCCAGGCTGCTGGGCTCGGTCTTCCTGAGCACCCCTGGGGTAGTTGGCCCACTGCAGGGAGATGAGGCAGAGACTGGAGCAACAGGTCTTTCTGCTGACTGGCTTGGAGGGAATCGGAACGTCGGGACCCCGGCATCCCTGCCTGCTTTGGGAAACCAGACCAGACCGAAAGAGCAGATGAAGGGCTGAGAGGGAGGCTGGGCTGGTGGCAACAAGGAGCAGGGCCTCTTCAGTGGTGGGCCCCCAGTTCGGGAACAAACTCCCCACTGAGGCCCGCCTGGCGCCAACCTTCCCGTCTCTTCTGCATGAGGTGAAGACGGTCCACTACCGCAGGGCATTTAATCAGCTTACTGGGGCTTTGTCAGCTGCTTAATCGGGTTCCAAGATTTATCTTGTAAGTTATAGGGATTTATGTATGTATGTATTTATTTAAAGTTTTTATATGCCATCCAATACTAAAGTCTCTGGACAGCTTACAAAACAAACAACAAAACAACCACATACAACAAACAAGACACTGCAAATTTTAAGTGGGTTTTAGGGTTTGGTATGGCCACTTTTTTTTACAATGTTGTATACTGCAGTGCATTTTAGACTGTGTTTTTAATGGAGTATTGTAAGCTATTCTGCACTGCCCGGGCTACTGGGCAGTATAGAAGTTAAATAACGGTGGTGAAGACGGGCGGCATGGCCCCTGGTCCACAGAAATGTTGCCCAACAAGGCAAAGCACCTGTGGAACTGCGCAGCGATGCTCCAATGTGCCACACTTTCCACCGCCACAGCGCCACTGTTTCTTCAGCTGGGAGGCACGGTGCAAAAGAAGAGCACGGAGGCCGGGACCAGGCATGTCGTGAGCAGGGCCGGCTGGAGCCAGGGGTCAGACTAGATGGCCCAGGAGGCCCCTTCTGACTCGCGCTGTTTTCTGTGTTTCGAGGACTAAGGTAACGTGAGCCTGTGTGAAAAGGGGGGAAGAAATTCCACACACCCTTCATGATCTGCTGCAGCTCCATCTGCAAGGTCTGCACCGCGCGCCCAGGGTGGTCCCCGGCCGTGCGCTTGATGCGATGGATGGAGAGGCGGCCGTCCACCACGGCGGCCACATCGTCGTCCTCGAGGAAAATCACCCTGTTGGTGTGCTCGATAACGGCGCTGGAAGAGAGTTCGCAGCCAATCAACGCCCATCGACAGGGAAACAAAGGAGACCCTGGGACACAGCCCTCGGGAGCAAAGACGCACGTTACAGACAAGTGCGAGAGGGGAAGAGTCGGCGACTAGACGCTCTGAAGACCTGGACTCTGGCTGCTCCAGCCTCGAGGCCAGGTCAGACCCAGAGCTGAGCGGGCAAAGGGGTAGCAAACCCCCGAGGCACCCCTGCAACGGCTAGGCCTGCGGCAAAACACGCCACGTTTGCTGTTTTAGTGCACCGACATCTCAGCTTCAGCTTTCCAATTTCCATTTTTATGTTTCCACTACTACTTGAAGCAGGCAAAGGAGTTCCCCTCTCCTTTCATTCTCACAACCAGCCAACAACACACGGCGGGCAGAGATACTGGCGGACTAAGGCCAGTGCAAGAGGTCTTCAGACGACGTGCCCGTCAACCCCCACCCTTTCCCAGAGAGGAGGCTCCTTCTCTGCCTAAATACGCACGGGGCGCCCTCTGAGCGCAGGACCATCCGCACATCCAGGCAGAAAAACGCCCCGTGACTCCAGCAAGCTCCAGCCAGCTTGCCTGGCGCTACGCCTCTGGGAAGCTGCCGGCCCTCACTCAAACCACAGACGCAAGTCTTCCTAGCCCTGATGCCCTAGCACAGGGGCCCCCAGACCGTGGCCCATGGGCCGGATCCGGTCTGCCATGCCCATTTATCCGGCCTGGCCCGGAGGTTTTGGAGTCACCGTGCACGCACAGGTGTGTGGCGAGGTGCCGTCTTGCTCGCGCAGAGATCGTTTTGGACTCGTTCAGAGAAAACGACCACTGCGCAAGCAAGGCGCTGCCTCGCCCTGCACGCCCCCCCAGCCCCCGGCACCTCCCCGGCGGCCCGTGGCCACCGCCGGCACTGTTCGACTGGCCCCCCGTCGAGAAAGTCTGAGGACCCGGCCACAGCATCACCTCCCTGGCTCCGGGGTGATCGGGAGGCCGAGCTTCCCCGAGGCAAAGAACGGCCTCGTGCATCTAGCTTGCGCGTGTCCATGTCCCCGTTAACTCGGAGCATATCGAGAAGAGTCAGGACCACGCAGCGCCAGGAAAAGCAGGGCGTCCTGCTCGCCCCGCTCTGCTCTGCTCTGCTCCGCCTTCCACACGCAAGCCCAGTCCGTTTCCTTCCGCTGGGGGCGCCGCCTGCCCGTGCGGGACGCCGGCCGCAGGGCCAGGCCACTCCTGCGAGGAGGCCGCTGCACCCACCTGGCGTCCGAGGCGAAGTAGTACTCCACCGCCTTCTCTTCGACAGGAAAGAGGCACGTGGTGCTGTCCACGCGGGCCAGGCTGCAGCTGCCCTTCTTGTCCTTGCCTGCCACGGGGGAACACCCGGTCAGCCACGGAAACCGTCCGCAGCGGCGCACAGCGAACGGGAACGCCCCATCCTTCCATCAAACGGACCCCGAATCACCCAAGTACCAACATGAAGCTTGACTTTTGCAATGTGTCCGGCGCAGGAATATTTCCCGCAAAAGTGCCGGTAAAAGGAAACGGGAGATGCGCAGGAGCTGTGTCGCCACTCTGCAGTCAATGGAAGGTGTGCAGGAGGCCTTGTGTGGGTTTTGCGCTGTATGTATGTGCTGAACAAGCAAGAAGGAATGCCATCCCCCCCCCCCCCCCCGCCAACAACTGCATCCCCACCTGTGGACTGAGGAGGGCGCTTATCAGAATGATAATCCAGCTGCTTTCAAGGCAACAGTTTAACTACTGGTTTCATTCAGGACTTCTGCTAGGCAATCCGGCAGCTACGCATGCATGCAACCTAACACACATTGAGATTAGTTCTGCGCTTACCAGGAAACAGCGAGAGATTACATTTGGTCGAGGTCAGGTGTTCCTAAGCTAAAACTCAGCTTGGGCCATGGCTGCCACACCGATGGGGATGGTAGCAGTTTTAGCCCAACACTCAGCAGGAGGAATAAACTTTCCAGAGAGAACAGAAGCCAAAGGGCTCCTGGAAAAGTCTTGGAATTAAGGAGGTCTTTCCCCAGTTGTCAAAATGGTCAAGAGTTAGGCCGCTTGGCTGGTGATTGGCACTGCTGGAGCAGAGCACGTCACGCCACTTTTGAGAGAATCACACCAGTGCTTGTTTTAACAAAAGAACCCCTACATGGCCTGGGGCCCGATTACCTGAAGGACCCATATATACCTCCCCACCCCTGAAGATCTGCTCAGGAGGCCCTTCTGGGAGCCATCCCTCAGGGAGTGGGAGGAGTTGCAAACACATAAAGGGACCTTTCTACTGCTGCCCCCATCTCTGGAACTCCCTCCCTAGGGGAATTCACCTGGCGCCATCTTTGTTTTTATTTGTGCCAGGCAAAGACATACTTTTTAAAGAAATTCATTAACATCTAAGCCCTTCTGTGAATGCTGATGAACCTCCATTGGTTTATTATATTGTATTATTTTTATGTTTTGTGATTCTATTCTTTCAATTGTTTTATGCTGTTTTATTGTGTGAGCCACCTAAAGAGGCCATTCTGGCAGATACAGGCAGCATACATATATGTGAATCAATCAATCAGTCAGTCAGTCAGTCAGTCCATCAAATAGCTGGGAACCTGGTAATCAGCTGAAGTAAATACTGGATTGTTCCGTGGAAGTTCATGGGTTATGCTCTGGATGTACAAATGCTGAGAGGAAGCTCCAAGCCACAGAACAAGCCAGTGTTCTTTAAAGACAAGGATACAGCGAATTCCACCCACTGCCCCGTTTCCCTAGCACTGTGTCCATCGCCCTCATGGAAATGGTTCTCATGTCGACCAAGACACTTGACTAAGCTTAAGCAAATGGTTAGCATTCGGCCCAGCAGCTGATTGCGTTGATGCCGCTTGTGTCCCCCAGGGTCCTGCAACGAAGACTGCTTTCATGTTGATACCAATCATTAAAAACCTAAGCCAGTGCCACGAAGCAAGCGAGCCAGGCATTCTGAAATTGGGATGTGGGTTCCAAATTCACAGAGATCAGCAAGAGGAGGAGAGACCCGGAAAGAGAGGAATCAGAGAGACTTCTGTGCGCTGAAGAGCCCTTGCACAGTTACTGCATGCAACACCCCGGGAAGTGTGGCCCTGCGGCTTGTCGCCATTGCTTTCCATCGAAAAGGCAACGAGGAGACCGACACTCAACTCCTGCACACACACAGAATCAGGCTGCTCGGCAACGGAGAGGCAACCGTGGGCATCCCACGCCACATCCGTGCCCCGACAAGGAGCCCGAGAAAGAAGCGGCTCTGCTGAAACGCAAGTATCAGAATCGTTGTCACGAGGTTTGCTCATTCTCTCCAATGGAAAGCAAAACGCGACCCCTGGAAAAGGCAGTGCTCCATTTCATTCGTTTTCTGAGAAGCAGGAGGACTTGCAGAATTAACAATTATGTCTGAGGCACCTTCCTCCAGTTTTATGGATAGGCCATCAAAAGAATGATCCATAGGTTGTGTTGCTGAAAGTGCAATATGAAAATTTACATCAGAGAGTCACTGACCACAAAAGGAACTGCAGCAGCATCGGCTTAAAGGAAAAACTGGAACGGGAAGCCACTCGTGGGCCCAAATTCACCCAGGCCTCACGGACAATCCCGCCCCCGGACAGTGGTGCGTGTGACCCTTCACGAAAGCCGGCCATCGAGCAGCCCGCAAAGGGGTCATTCGGCTGGGGATGGGGCTGCGCACCCGAGCAGGGGTGCTCCTGAGCGTACCACCGCCCCTTGGCGGCTTGGGGCACCTTAGCCCAAGTGCAAGCACGGCAAGGGCCAGGCTGCCCGAGCGGAGCCCCCCGGGAGGTTCTGGACTCCCGTCAGTCCCCTCCAGCGCGGCTGATGGCCAGGCGTGCTGGAAACTGCAGCCCAAACTGCCTGGGGGGCACTGGGGGGCGGGGAGGCGGGCTTAGGCTGACCACCTTATCCAGGCAGACAGCTTGGCGATTCCCACAAGCTGGACCGCATGTTTAAGCGGGGCGACCTTTGAAAGTGTTGCAGGAAATCAGCAAGCCGGGAAAAGCAGCTGGGCTGCCGACAAGGGGGGCCGGGGGGGGTCTGTGTGTCCACGGCTCCTCTGGCTCCCTGCCTCCTGGCAGGCCGGGCCCCAAGCGCTGGCACTGAGCTGCAGCGACCCAGTGGCCCAGGCCCAAGCGGTGCAAGGCGGGCTCTTTGGAGGCCCTCCTCTGGGTGCCCCCCCAGCGTGGAGTCGGGCAGGGGCTGCCCGAAAGAGCGCCTTCCAGGAAGCGGTGCCTGCGTAGGGAACGGCCTCCCGGGCGGGCGGGCTGGCCTGGCCTTCGTGCCGGGACATTCTCCCCGGCCCAGGCACTCAGATTTCTGTCTTTGCGATTCGGGTGTGTGAAGGCTTTGAAATCCTCACTCCATCCCTCGGCACCGTTGCTTCAGCATGTTTTATTGTGTGAACCACTCTGAGATCATTTTATTAGACGGCTGCAACTTGCCGAAAACAGTCTCTGTTCTGAGGACACACGCTTGCTCCTGAAAGCAGGGTCGGAAAACCCGTGGCTAACGGCCAAATTGGGCCGCTGGCCTGTGGGGTCCCCCAGAGAGGTTTCCCAAAGGCACCTTGCCTCCGTGGCCTAGCCAGCTCCCCAACAAAGCGGCTCTCAGAGCTGTAAGCCAGCTCAGCTGAGGTGTGCCCTGCACAGTCCCAACCCGGCCGAGGAGCAAAGCAGCCGCAGTCGGGTTCACTCCCTACTCCTCCCCCAGGCGATCCTACCCCTCTGAAGGCCTCCGTCCAGCCCGCATCACGGAGGATCCAGCTTCCGCCACACTGCTCTAAAGACGTGTGTGCTCGAGGGGAACCGCGTCGCTCCGGCGCTTACCTGTCCTGTAGAGTATTGGAATGTGGTCAGTAGAGAGCTTGTGTTCGCTCCGCACACCGATGAGGAGGGGGCTTCCTCGCCTGGAAAAGGACCAGCAGCCACACTGGGTGTCAGGGGCACATGGCTGCATCCCTATTTTGGGGCTGGCTCATCCCTGTTCGGCCCCCACTAGCATCAGTGTAGTCAAGAAAGTGAGGGCTGGAGGCAGACTGCTCAGACAGAAATTTCAGAGGAAGGGGCCAGTGCCGCAGGGCCGGGTATGGAAAAGGAAGCATCTAAAGCCCGAGTAAAATACCAAGCAGGCTGTAAATGCTGCCAAGAAGAACCTGGGCGCTGATAGTGCTATTTGCGCACCAGCATTACTGGCAACACGGGGAACAAGGTTGTGGTTCCTCTGTGTCTGAACTGAGAGTCAGCACATGTCACGCCTGCTGAACAGAGATCTTGCAAGCTGCCAAGAACGCTGGGAGGGATGCCTGCCTGCCACAAAGCACCACGTGCAAGTCAAGGTGGTCACAATCCAAAGAGAGCACAAGTGTATGGACACTTGCTTCCAAGGAAGCGCAGATGGAGTGGCAGCCTGAACCTGGTGTCGCAGCTCTGCTTTCATCCCAAGGATGAGGAGAACCGGCGCTCTCGGCATGGGGAGCGTGCGTATTTCCTTCACCTACAGCTCTCACAATTTTCTGGAGCACGCGATTCATATTTTATTTAAGCAGCATTTTAAATGTTAATATTATTGAATTTTATCTGGCCAGGGCGGCTTATTTTATATTGTATATTTGTATTTTATTTTAATGCATATATTTTAAAATGTTATTTATGATATTTTTAATTTATTGTTGTAAGCCGCCCCGAGGCTTCGGCGAATGGGGCGGCATAAAAATGTTTTAATTAATTAATTAATAAAACTGGTCTAAAACCAATATACGCAGGGGGCAATCCTGCACAGCCTGAAAAATATATACTTTGCCAATCAATATGCTGATTGTTTTGCTTATTCCAAACGAGGAGTTCGTTGTGGATGGCAGGAAAGGAAACAGTCATCCACATCAATGTTATTAGGATACTGGGTCATCTTTCTGAAATGAGACTTTCATTTCAATACCAAATATGAAAAAACTAAGAATACTGCACAAGGTAATCAGCTCCCTAGAGAAGGCAACTAAAATTTCATTTGATTGAAATGCTATAGAACAAAGGATTAGAAAGTTAGTGGCCAACTATTAGCATGAGAATTATGAAGCTGATTAGCTTTTTGAGAAAGACTGCCCCCATACTGGAATGGTACTTACCTGGTGCCAACTGCTTGACCACGATAATGGACACTTTTGAATACAAGGGCGAATGCACCTTCCTTTGGGGACAAAGAGCAAATATTTTACTTTACTTTTTCAGTCACTTTGTCAAAAAGAAGCCCAGTGCCTGAAGTCGCTCACGCGTTAACTGCAAAACACTGGCTGATTTCAAGGATCCTGCTACGCGTGCATTCACGCGGCAATAGTCCCATGGTGAGTGTGTGCGGAGGAGAAAGGAGCGTGCACTGACACGGCTCTAGTCCAAACGGTGCTTGGTAAAGAAACTCGGGTCCTGCTGAGAACAGCTCCTGACGACAGCCAGTGGGAACAGTGGAACCTAAACAGGTTTTGGCATCATGGAGCATCACGTACCAAAGATCAGGATAATGCTGCTTTTACAAAAGCTCTATGCGTACGAAGTCTTAAACCTAGTATGCGCCATATTAGTGAAAAACAACCCCCCTTGAGTGGGATAGCCTTTAAGCTAGATCAATCCTTGCAGGCCATTCCGGGAAGCTGCTGTTTGGCTGAACGTGGGGTAAGGCAGTATAAACAGGTAAATGAAAGCGGCTAGGCAATGAATCCATTCCTAGATGGAACTGGACACAAGGACTATCTGGCTCGCCAGCGCTGCAAGCCAGACCTAAAGCAGATGGATCTTGGCTCAAATCTAGCAACGCGCAAAAGTCACCAGTGAAAGCTTTCTGTTCTGCACTGATGTGCAGCCGAGCATTTCCCAAAGCCCCTCGCATAAAACACAAGAACCTGTTTGTCCAGGCACGAGGCTTTTAAACGGACTCGGACAGTTTACTAAAAATGCCGGTTTACCAGTTGCTGGATGACTCTTTCCACCAAGGTGGTGAAGCTGATGCCGTCACTTTCACGGTTGTCATACATGTACTTGACGAGCTTGGCAATCGTTTCCGTATCCGTCTCAGACTCAAATTCATAGCCTTTGCTCTCCTGCAAGAAAGGAAGCATTATTGTAGCCAACTTCCACCATGAGTGAGAGGCCACCCAAAGTCACCGGCACAGCACATGGGCTCGGAGAAAAATGGCAAACCATGGGGCGAAAGGAAGAGACTCACCCAAAACGGAGCTCATTCTGCCCGTACCATAGTTCTGTTTCGAACAACAGCATCCTTATTTAACAGTGGAAAACTATGAGGAACCATCAGAGGAACCAAATAGAATCAAATTTGCAGAAAGATTCTAGTTTAGCAATTTCATGCTGGAGCCTTTGAAGTCTTTTAGCAAAGATGCTGATCCTCATTTCAAGATACAGTCTTAAGCTTTTTGAAAAGTGTCCATGGCCTTAAATGAACAAACTGAGAAAACTCCGAATTTAAGCCAGGCATTTAGACTAAAAACTTTCTCCTTTTGTAAGTACTATTGTCCTCTTTTAGCATTTAGGCCTAATCCATCCATAAAACTTTAAAGTGTTGAACAGAGTGCAAAACTCCCGGCCTCTACTCCTCCTCCATTCATTACCAAAGCCAAAGGTACCTTCATTCTACGACACCTCCTGTGGGAAATGTGGGAACCTTTTTATTTAAACGTTACTTTAATTGTTGATTTTAATAATTTTTTGCCAGGATGTCTCCAATATTTTATGTAATTGTATTGATTCTATTTATTTATGGTTTGGAAGCTGCCCCGAGGCTTATGCGAATGGGGCAGCATGTAAGTTCTCCAAATAAATAAGTTCTCCAAATAAATAAATGCAGTAGCATTGTCCTCACACACACTGATTCAAGTACGACACATCAATGTGGCAGAAATTGGGAGCAAAGCGACAGTACCCCGCCCCCCCCCCACGGCGTGGCCGCCACAGTTCTCCCTGCAGAAGCACCACGAGCTCGCACAGGGAGGGGTGCGCCCTCGGCCAGGACGTCCCAGGAGCGTCCTCAGCATTCCGAGCCGGCTGGGACGGGCCTGGGGGGCCGCAGCCCGCCGAGCCAAAGGGGCCTGCCGAGGGGGAGGCGGCCGCTTGCGCCCCGCAGCACCTGGCGGAGCAGGAGAGAGGAGGCAGGCTCTGCCATGAGGGACTTGCAGTGAGCCACCCCCTAAAAGCCGGTCCCCACTCCAAAAACGGGTGCGTTCGGCTGTTGCACCAGCCCAGATGCAAAAGCCCGGGGAAAATTTCCGCACAACCGCGCTGGCAGGGGTGGGTACCACTGCCGCCCCGGAAGGAGGCACCGCCATCTCGGGAAGCCTTACAGCACGACTCCAGGAGCCTGCTTACCAGGAACTTCTTCAGGTCTTTGTAGTTGGTGATGATACCATTGTGGATGACGATGAATTCTGAAAGAAAAGGAAACACCACCGGATGACTGCGACCGCTAGCCAAGCACCCCCACCCCCCTGGCAAAATCCAAAGGAGCGGAAAGGATTCCTGGTCATTGACCTGCTCAAAGACAAAATATTCTGAGCCCGGCGGGTCCGCACCCAACGAGGCCCTGGAGGATCTAATTTAACGAAGTACGCGGCAGACTTCAGCCCAGTGCTGCCCCCGCTTTGCTGCTTAACTCGGGGCTGCTTGGCACATGCGGAATCTAACTGCAGTATTAATGCGTTTTATCCTGTTTGCAGTGCAATTTCCTAATGTAAGAGAGAAAGCAGAGCTTCTTCTGGGTGGGCCCTTATTCAAGCTGTTTTCTGCGCTGGGAAATACAGTTCACCATTTTAACCAGGTTGGCATTAACAAGCTACAGGAAACCGAAGCTCGGCTTCAGCCATGATGAGTCCTCAGAATTAGGCCATCTGACAGACTAATGGCCCCTTAGAGGAGATTAATTGGAATTACAACCCATGCTTGAAACTTCAGTAATATTTTACCAAACAGCCAGTCTTTCTGCAGATCACTGCTTTGCCCCAGATCATCAATTTTATGTGGAAACCATTTAATCCAAGAGGACTAAAATTTAACCTTTTCTGAAAATTGCTATAAATTCTTGTTGCTAGTCGTGAACTCATGTCCGACCCATCGCAACCCCATGGACAACACTCCTCCAGGCCTTCCTGCCCTCCACCATCCCCCAGAGTCCACTTAAGATCACACTGACTGCCTCAGTGACTCCATCCAGCCACCGCATCCTCTGCCTTCCCCTCCTTTTGCTTTTAATTGTTCCCACCATTGGGCCCTTCTCCAGGGAGTCCTTCCTTCTCATTCGGTGGCCAAAGTATTTGAGTTTCAGCTTCACTGTCTGGCCTTCTGAAGAGCAGTCAGGGTTGATCTCCTCTAGGACTGACCGGTTTGATCGCCTTGCGGTCCAAGGGACTCGCAGAAGAATCCTCCAGCACCACCATTCAAAGGCCTCAGTTCTTTGGCGCTCAGCCTTCCTTATGGTCCAGCTTTCACAGCCATACATTGCAACTGGAAAAACCATAGCCCTGACTATACACACTTTTGTTGGCAGGGTGATGTCTCTGCTTTTTAGTATGCTGTCTAGATTAGCCATAGCTTTCCTCCCCAGGAGCAAGCGTCTTTTAATTTCTTGGCTGCAGTCCCCGTCTGCGGTGATTTTGGAGCCCAGGAAAATAAAATCTGTCACTACCTCCATTTCTTCCCCATCTATTTGCCAGGAAGTGAGAGGACCGGATGCCATGAGCTTAGTTTTCTTAATGTTGAGTTTCAGGCCAACTTTTGCGCTCTCCTCCTTCACCCTCATCAAGAGGCTCTTTAGTTCCTCTGCACTTTCTGTCCTTAGAGTGGTATCATCTGCATATCTGAGGTTGTTGATATTTCTCCCAGCAATCTGAATTCCAACTGGTGATTCATCTAGCCCCACCTTTCTCGTGATGTGCTCTGCATATAAGTTAAATAGGCAGGGCTACAGTATACAGCCTTGCCAAACTCCTTTCTCATGCTATAAATTAGAGAGGGATTTTTTCTGTGATCCATGATGCACTTCTTTAAAAGCCATTATTTCACCATTATTATCTGTCAGCACAATATGTACGCAAGAGGAATTCAGGCCAGCCTTGTCTGTAACGACTGAAGATTGTGAATAAAATTGCTGCACTCATTTATCCAGTACACAGCCACAGTGAACTTCTTGTTGCGCTCAGGTCTGTGACTAATTTAGGGTGGCGGGTGGGTGCTAAAGACTAAGACCACTGATCTCATTTATTTATTTTTATGCATATACCTTCTTCATTCCCCCAAGGAACTGAACGCAGCATAAACAACTCTTGTCCTCATTTTATCCTCACGGCAACCCTGCAAAGTAGGTCAGGCTGAGAGGCTGTGGCTGACCCAAAGTCCCTCTAACCTGAATATAGCCAGGTTGGAGTCAGTGCAGCGCAGGGACACAAGGCTGGTGGCCGGATTGCAGGGGATGCCGCATGAGGCGAGACTGGGGGAACTGGGTCTCTTCGGCCTGGAGGGCAGGACATGCTCCAACAGAGCCATGCTCAAGGAACCAAGGTTCAATTTGGATGCCAGGAAGCACTTTAATTTTAACTGAACTGAATTGAATTTAAACAAACATTTATACCCCATCCTTTCTGACAAACAGTTCAAACAGCTTACAATGATTTAAAATATTACAATAATACAATGATAAAACAGTAAATATTAAATCAATATAAAACAAAGGAAAGAAGGAAGGAGAAAAAGGGTAGAAAATGGGACTGTGGAAAGAAGATCTTAAAACATCTAAAAAATGATTATTAAAAGGATGGTTGAATAAAAGGTCTTTACCTGGCGCTGGACAGAGTATAAAGTCGGCGCCAGGCAGACCTCTCTGGGGAGTGCATTCCATAGTCTGGGCACCACTGCAGGGAAGGCCCTCCTCTGGGTAGACACCCTCCCTCCCTCCTTCAGAGAGGGTTCCTGGAGCAAGGTCTCCCCTGTCGATCTTAAGGGGCATCCTGACAGTGAGGACCCCGAGGGGTGGAATGGACTTCCACGGGAGTGGCTGAGGCCCCATTGGTGAGGGTGCTCAAGGATAGGCTGGACACGCACATGGTGGGCATGTCGTGAGCAGGGCCGGCTGTAGCTGGGGTCAGACTAGATGGCCCGGGAGGCCCCTCCTGACTCGCTCTGTTTCTACCTTTCTGTGTTTTGTGGCCAAAGAGAGCCTAGAACCAATAAGTCCTTTATGCACAAGCACAATCATGCATAAGGTGAGTCTCCTTGGATTCTCTGCCAGCCCCGAAAAGTCCATCGCCGCCTCCCTTGGATAAAAAACTGAAGGAACGCCACATCCGCCACATGCAGAGAAAGATGCTCTCGGGTCCCGAGCGCACCTTACCGTTGTTCTTATCGGAGCGCTGCGGATGGCTGTTGACGGGGTTAGGCTCGCCATGGGTGGCCCATCGCGTGTGAGCGATCCCAAGATGCACATCGAATTCAATGTCCAGGTCCATATCCTGCTGCTCTGAGGACAGGAAAAAGCATTTTCACTCCTGTCTTATCCGTGCTTCCCGTGGCACCCAGGTTTCAAGTGCAGCCTCGCACCCTGGGATGACTAGCCTACATTCCTGCTAACTGGCTACTTTACTAGCCCTCACCCAAGACCTGGGGATGTGGTGGGCTTCCCCTGCCCTCAAGAGGCCGCTGGAAAGCCAATGGAGAGGAAGGGTTTAACTTGGAATCCTGCACCAAGGAGGGGGCTGGCCCCCACGGCCCCTTCCCACTTTACTATTCTATGCTCGCACGACCAGGTTGGAGTCCCAGCCTGTTTTCTGTTGGCGTTGGATTACTTTAGAATGTTTGCTGTTGCTGTTTCCGTTGTGGGATCACATCCAGACAAACGTTTTCAGTGGGCCTGAAGCAACGTATCAAAGAACGCCCTGAATGTTACTGGGGACACGAGGAAGAACATGGGGAGGGTTGCGCGGCAGTCCACTTACTGTTCACTTCTTCATCCAACGCCTTCACTTTCCCCTTCTTTTTGATGAGTGCAATTTTGCCAGCATTGGCCTCCCAGTCTTTATCATTACCTCCATCAATACCGACTCCTAGGGAACGAGGCACGTAAATACACCAAGATGGCTCCCATCTTGCAAGATCAATCATCATACCTTCCAAGAACAACAACGTCACTTCTACTCTTATTAAACGAAAACTGTATATGTTACATATTTTTGGAGTATGCTTTCAAAAGTGGGTACTGGTCAATTCCCACTGTCGGTGTCTCAGAAGCAAGCCTCAGTGCGATTGGTTCCACCGTTCAGTCTTCTTACGAAACCCAATTGAGCTGAATTATGAAATTCATGTGCCATACTAATGCTTCTCATTTATGGGTTTAGCTATATTTCTTGAACTCACGGATGAGGATGAAGTGTCATCTGAACCTAGTTATCATTAACTATGATTGGTTTCAGAAAGCCAGCTCCAGAAACCATGATTCGAAGCTGGTTTGTTTTAAGCTACAGCTGATACTTATCATAGGTTGTCATAAACTGCTTTGGCAAATTGCACTACGGTATGTTTTAACACGGAAGGTGGATGCAGCCAGGGAGTTTTACAAGTTGACCCACAGAAAGATGTTCACAATATAAATAAGCTACTGACAAGATGAGCAACGTACCCGCAGAGTCATATCCTCTGTATTCCAGTCTCTGAAGTCCCTTAATAAGGGTGTCCAGAATCTCCCGTCTTGTCCGAGGAACATGATAGTTCAGGTAAGCAAAGATGCCTGAAAGCGTGATTTACAAACAGAAAGAAAGAGTAAATTAGTTAAATGTGGCATTTTTAAACCAATGGTATGCCTTGAAACAACACTATATAGGGTCTCTATTAGCCCAATCCCAAAATTGTCGTAAAGTGATCCATCCCTGACACACCCCTATGACCAGCCAGAATCAGGAGGCCTACCGCAGCTTCCTTGCTCTAGTTCTCTTAAGCAGTATGCTACTGTAGAACAGTATCATCATCATCATCGCATTACTCACTCCAGCATCAGTGCACAAGCTGTCAAAAACTCATAAGCAAAATGAAGACAACTTCCTGCCCTCAAGGAGCTTAGAGAGTAAAATTGCAAGAAGTTTTGCAGGAAAAATCAAAAGAGGTGAGAAGAAAACACAGACTATGCATACACAGACTTGGTCTCTTTTGGAATGAAGTTTGCGAGGTTATGGCAAGACTCCAAATCAACACTCTGATCCCAAATGGGGCAGCTCAACGCACAACTTTCCTTCTGCGAATAGAACTGAGCTCAGGAACTTGGGTTTTTCCATTCCCTTTTTTTGCTGCCTTTTATGCACACCACAACAGATTTTCTCCTGGGGCTTTGAAACATGCAACCATAACTCTAAGACAATTTTTTAAAGCTTGAGAATATTTTACATGCACTCGCAGGCAGCAACATCTGGATCAAATGATACCAGAGTGCTAGGTCACAGTTGTTGTTGCCAGTCGCGAAGTCGCGTCCGACCCATCGCGACCCCATGGACAACACTCCTCCAGGCCTTCCTGCCCTCCACCTTCCCCCAGAGTCCACTTAAGCTCACACCCACCACCCCAGTGACTCCGTCCAGCCACCGCATCCTCTGCTGCCCCCTCCTTCTTTTGCCTTCTACTGTTCCCAGCATCAGGCTCTTCTCCAGGGAGTCCTTCCTTCTCATTCGGTGGCCACTGCAACCCAATACCGAAAGCCAGTGTGGTGCAGTGGATAAGAGCACGGGACTGGGATGTGGAGAAAAGGTTTGGCCCACTGTTGTGTCAGGTCTCAAGTGCAGCGTAATGTCAACAGAACCAGAACCTGCTCCTTCCTTCTGGAAAGAGGACGGCTTTGCGTGAACAGCAAATTATGGCTTGCTGGTTAAGGCTTGTCAAAATTTCTGAATCAGCTCTAGAAGAGGAAAGAAAAGGAGCGGCCTTCTGGCATTCACTACGTCCACACCTTTAAATAATAGATCAAGGAAACCAACAAGCGGCTAGTGCGATTCGCTGTGCGTCACCCACCACCGTTTCTCCTCCTTATCACAGACAGCAGGCTCCCAAGATCACATAGCCAAGACCGCGATCTAAAGGCGATAGCCGGAGGAGGAAGTGAGAGAGGAAAACAGTGCCGGGTGACGCTTCGACTCTTCAGCGCATGCAGAAGGCCACCCTCATGAGGAGTTGCGTCTCCCCTGCAGCAGCTTTGTGAGCAAACCTCCTCGCGTTCTAGACTAGGATTTGTTCTGCTAGCTTACCTATCCAGAGGTAGTCATCTGTAGCCTGAAACGGGGAGGGACTACCTTTTGGCAGGTGGAAGCCAGTAGCTGATCCCCTGGAAGCAACGATCCAAATGAACAAAGCCCTAAACAACTCAGGACCCATTTGCCTGGGACCACCCTGGCTCCCAAGTTCCCCTGCCTGCTCTCCGAGGCCAGCAAGTGATGCTTCTGGGGGCTGTGCTGGGACCTTCTATTACCAATCTGCCAGCCCCAAGGAAGAGGGCCATCGCACTGACCCCACCTCCCCTCCGAAGCAGACTTCCCTGATCTTCCTCATCAACAGAATTTATTGAGTCGCTGCAGCTTGACGCACAAAGCTCTTACAGCAAAATATGCAGCAGAATAAACTTAAATCCAATAAATCCAACAACACAGAGAACACACAATCATTTTAAAAGGAAAGAAAATTATAAAACAGGTAAATGTAAAACATGGCAATTTCCCAATGCTGATTTACATGTATTAAATATAAGATTAAAATGTAAGGCTTGGAAACATGAGAAGCTCTTCTCCTAGCACGTAAAAGGTTATGGGCACCGAGCGCGGTTAGCTGAGGTTTTGCCTTCAAAAGGCACAGGCCGTTTTCCTTGCAAAATGTTACGTGTTGCTCCCAAGAACAAATCACCCTGAATGGATCTCTGGACATGCAAAGAGTGGCTTGTTGCACCCAATCTAGAGTTTAGACCCAGGAACTCCCCTTATGAATACACCTGGGCTCCATCCCCCGGAAGGAACCTTGTGTACACAAGCCTGCTTACGGATTCTCACTCCCCTGCAGTGAGTAGCTGGGGTGGAGACTAGTCCAAAGTCACCCAGTCAGCGCCATGGCTGAATGAGGCCTAGAATCCAGATTGCCCAGACCTATAACCACTGCACCCACCAGCTCGCAATCGTTATTACGCCATAATACTATTAGAATTATTATTCCACCTTGGCACTGTTAAAGTACCTAGGCATGGTGTTGCACTGGTTTAATTATTAACAAGAAACGATCTTGTGAGCTTTGCATCCCTTCTTAGCTCGAACCGGGGAGGCCCCTCACATGCAGCTCAAACTCCAGTACGCAGCTGCTCAACTGGTTTGACTGGTGTGTTCTGGTGCGTTCTGGTCTATAGGAGAATCCAACCAGCTGTTCTCCGCACTGGCCGTCGATAGCTTAAGATGAATTATATCAATTCAGCTGGAAAGTTGTCCATCAAAGACAAGCAGCCCAGAGAGGGAGATGTGAAGAAAAAGCTGCAGGGGCCAAGGACTCATCTTAAGAGAAATGCTCCCCACGCTGAGCTGGTGGAAAGGACTTGCTAATCCTAAGCCCCCCTCCATCAACACTCAAATTACCACTTTCTCATTCCAGAGCACAGCATCCAAACATCTACAACTTTACTCAGATATACTTAAAAGGATGTATTTGGAGTCTGCATACAAGGACCAGATGCCAGAGAATTTGCCAGCCATGAACATCCAAAGATTGCATTTGAATGAAGACACAAAAGCCCGGCATTCACTGCAAACTATTTCTAGCATCACTTGCTGCTTCTGTGCTTAGATCTGTCCCGCTTTCCATTTTCTGAGGCAAATCTACATAGCATTAAATACACATGAGCAAACTGTGACCTCTTTATCACACTCTTCAGTAGAAATCTCTTTAAAAAAAAAACGCAAGCTATGCTCTGGGTAAAAACTTAATTATACTACCATCCAAATAAAGTGTTCTTCAGATCCTTGGTGATAGAGAAGCTGAAGGAAGAACTAACTGCTAACACCTAAATAACTAAGCAGAAGCTGAAAAACATTTCAATGACATTGGCATGCACCAAAGGCGAAATGCCCAAGCAACTTAAATTTATTAATTTATTAAATGCTTTTCTAACCCATCCCCCACTAACGTCACGGGACGGCTTACAAACAAAACATCACAGCATCCAACAACTGAAATATTAAAACCACAGTTAACATCAATTAAACATTAAAAGGACGGGAAAATA